ACAAGGGTTTTAGAACAACCCCCATGTGAAAAGCCGAGAAGAATCTTACGGATTCTGGCCGGTACTTTCAGGCCCCCCAAAGTTTTTCACGAGCAGGTTCCCCTACAGAAAAAATTGGTACATGGAAAAATACACACTATGACAAACTGCCACACAGTCTTGCCACACGGAAATCAAGCATTCCTGCAGCGTCCCAATTGCTCAGAAGACGCCGTGTTATCTGGAAAAAAGTGCATGGGAGTGGGCAGATTGCTGAAAAAAGGATGCCATGGGCCAAGACCCTCCTAGTACCCTTAATTGGAATTCTATGGCCCCTAATAATGGGTACTTAGGCCTCTATGGCCCCTAATAATGGGTACTTAGGGCTAGATTATAGAGCGTAGTTGGAGGGTGTAGGGCAGCAGCCCTTAGTGGGTCCGCAACGGTCTGAAGTTGCAAGCAGAAAGGTCTTCTTGCTGAATACTTAGAGCAAGGCATCCTACTGTTCTCCCATCTTGCAGCAAATGTTGCAAATATGGAACTCAAAACAAACATGGGTCCGCAAGGCTTTTACTCAGTTTTCACCTGCAATGTCGGCAGTAATGACAATAAATTTGAGGACAACCGCTGCACAAGCCGCACAGAAAACAAGAAATGCAATAGACAACCATGGCTTCGCTATAATTACTTGACATTGGCACAATGTGGTGATTCAACCCGGTGATTTTGGGCCTCCAGCCTGGTTATGTTCAAGCACGCCTGTAGCATGGGCAGCCAAACACCTCTTGGGCGAAGGGCGAAATTCCCATGACCGCAGGTCTTGTCTCCCAAACGGAGTGCGGCACGCGCGGCCTGAACTCGCAGAACTGCGAACAAAACTGGCAGAAGCACCTAAAAGCGGAGTTTGGCTGCACACTCTTTCTAGAGGAAGCCATCCCCGCAAGCGAAAAGGTCCTATACATCAACTGAATGCATCTGTTATCTCTAGCAGACGTCCGACTCACTGCTCTCTGTGTGCTCGGCGGCGGAGTTCTTCTTGAAGGGGCTTCGGGTGGAGAAGCTCTCGCCGTGCGTGTGCTCGTCCACTCCACTGAACTCCTGGTCTTCGGGGACCCGCAGCTTCATGAAGAGCCGCATGACGAACACGATAATGGCAGTGCCCACGGCCGAGAAGGCCACTCCTGCCATGGCCCCTGCAATCTGCTTCCCAAGCAGCACGAAGCTGCCGGTGTAGATAAGGCCGCCATCCACGGCGAAGAGGCCCGTGAGGATGGCGCCTGCGATGCCGCCCATGCCGTGCAGGCCCATGGCGTCCAGGGTGTCGTCCACGTAGTGAATCTTGTTCAGAAGTGCCACAGAAGCGTAGCACCACGGAGCACCCAGCAGGCCCACTGCAATGCTCCATCCAGGCGTCACGAAGCCAGCAGCTGGCGTGATGCAAACGAGCCCAGCTACAGCGCCCACGGCGGCACCCACGCTGCTGGGCTTGCCATTCATGATACGCTCGATGAGCAGCCAGGCCATCATGGAGCTGGCAGCGGCGATCAGCGTGGTCGCCACGGCCCTGGCGGCCAGGCCATCCGAGACGCTCAGCGCGGAGCCGCCGTTGAAGCCCAGCCAGCCGAACCAAAGCAGGGAGGCGCCGAGGATCACGAAGGGAGCGTTTGCAGGGCCCAGCTCCTTCTCCACGTGTCGTCGGGGCCCGACGATGGCGCCCGCCACGTAGCCCGACACGCCGGAGCTGATGTGCACGACCTCGGCCAAAGACCAGAAACAACACTTCTTGCAAGTCCAAGCTCTAATATGTTTTTGCATTCAAAGTCTTATACATGATGAATTTCGTGCGCCCGGAAACGGTGCCACCGGCAAAGTCCAGCACACCCATCTCGCCGATCCAGCCGCCGCCCCACACCCAGTGGCAAAGCGGAGCATAAATCAACAGCGACCTCTGCACAGATGACTACACCCGCCCACACCCCAACAAACTGCATGCACGATTTTTCTGGGCCTAAAGCCTGGAAATGACAGCTGTGCGCCTACTCCCAACACAGCACTTTCTCGAGCAGCAGGCGTACCCCCTCAAAGAGGCCAGGCACTTGTCATTGTCATGAACGGTGCAGCCAAGGGGCCAAAGGGTCAACAGGACAGCGTAGGCACTGAAGCGCATGCCTCACAACGAAATAGGGCCCAATGCCGAAAGTGAAATCTCCATCAGCAAGAACGGCATGCAATTCCTACAACAGGATAACATCAACAGCAACACTAGAGCAAAAACAAACACGATGCCCCTGAAGAAGGGTAGCCCAAAAGCACTATACAAACACACACAGACACACACCCAAAGCCGTTCGTTCTGAGCCGTTTGGGAAGCGAGATGCGCTCGACCAAGGACCCCGAGATGATAGCTGAGGCAATGATGGCAAAAGTCATCTGGAAGCAAGCCTCATTGGCGTCACTTTGGCTGGGAGGGGGTGATGAGAGCTCACGCAGCTCTGGCGCGTGAGAGACTACGGTTGAAGGTACATGTGCGGTCCAAAATGTGTCAGACCTGAGAACATGTTGTATTGCAAGGGGGTCCCCAAGAGTGGAAGCACTGGATGCTTTCGCCCCCAAACTGCGAAGGGTAAGTCGAGAGGCAAAGGCGAGACCTGGCAAGCCGGAGTCGCCCCACCTCAGGAAGGCTATTGGGTTCAGGGGGTTTGGGCGGCGGTGTTGGGGTCTAGGGTTTGAGGGCTTTAGGAATTTGGGAGGATGAGGTCTTAGAGCTTAAGCGTTGTTGCATGCACTTGAGACGAAGAGCATTTACCAATACAAATGCGGAACAATAAATGGAGCCGCGGGCACTGAGAATGAAACAGGTCAAGGGCTTCGGGCTTATGGGGTGCAAAGGGTATTGGGTTTAGTTTAGGGTTTAGGGTGAGCAGCCCAGCATCGACTACATGCGACAATGGATAGTCAGAATTGCAATTATTAGTATTATTATTGTTGGAATTATTCTTGCTACAACCAGAAAAGCAACAGCAAACATATGGACGTGACCATGTACTGGAACCCTAAATCCTGAACCCTACACATCAAAAGCTTGCTTTGGGGGCTACGGTAACAGGTCCGGGAAAAATACGTGCCAGGGCCCTCCTTGTACCCTTGAAGGGAAGTTTATGGTTCTTTAGTAGTGGGTATTTTTGGTAGAAAGCGGGTAGATGGAGGGTCTAGGTGTACGATGTAGGTAATTCGCGTTGCCTGCCGTAGGGCGACTTTGAATTGCAGTGCTTGAATGTAGATTCGTAACAAGCACTGTGGACAGGTCGGTTATTTTTCAAAGCTATTTAGGAGCTGCTGGGAAGGGTATATGATGGCATAGGAGTGTAAAGAGATTGGTTTCAGGATTGATGATCTGTGCTTGGGATGAAGCTGAAAGCAGATGCTATGCCTGGAAGAAGGATCCCGAAGATCGTGGATTCATCTTTCTATGCTGCACCGACCCTCATGACCAGCTGGAAGAACCAGCACTGAATTGATCCATAGCCGCATTTTCATGTCCAGGTCCATGAAGAGGGCATAGTCAAAGTTGCCGATCACGGCGTTGTTCTCACCGAATGCCCAGGAGAAACCAAAGACCACCCAAGTCAGCGTTACGATGCCCATGGAGACGACCTACGCGCATGCTTCGGTGGCTGCGGGCTCTCTCTTGACAATTCCTGGGCCTGCGGTTTCCAGGACTAATACCATGAGGTATTAAATTTTTGGCCCCTTTGGTTCTGGAGTATATTGAGGCACCTGATATTTAAGGATACAAAAAAGGAACCCTATTTGGGAAACTTCACACATGCTTGCTTCGAAGGAGAGCACATCTTATGTGCACCCCTGCACAGTGAAACTTGTGGCCTGCAAATAGGTTTGGGGTTTAGGGTTTAAGGTTTAGGGATCTGACTGAGGCCGGGCACACTCATCATCATGGTGTTGATGATGTTTGTGTCTCTCACCAGACCGCCATAGAAAAAACCGAGACCCGCAGTCATCAGGAAGACCTGGGAACTGAGCTAGGGTTTAGGGTTTGGGGTCCATGGACCCTCCTTGAACTCTTAAATGGGGGTATACGGTCCCTAACACTAGGTTCCCAATAACCCCTTAGTAATAAGGGTAACCTTTTCCCTGATATTCATTATTCAACTTTAATAAGACCCCAAATAAAATGGAAAAAGGGTACTACTGGGGTACCTAGAATAGTCAGTCTTTACGGTATAGCAGATGGTAGAGGGAGGGACTAGGTCTACACCAGGGCAACTATTGGGGCTTTATAGGGATGGTGGAAAAGAAATTGGAAACAACTACATGATAACACGGATGTTACACTTGATGTGGTGATGTTTACCCCACCCCGATTTTGGGGCAGCAACAGATTTACGTGCTACGTACTGTAGATTAGTTATATAGGTAAACCTTCTACACGTTGAAATCGACTGCACGATCTAAGCAGTATAGTCCGTATACTAGCAACTGTACCACAGAATGTTTTTTTGTTTACAGCCGAGTTACCACCACATGTGATATGAGGGTGCTTAGGGGGCTTAGAGTTGGGTGATAATGACGCTGAACCTCCATGTATCCCTCAACTTCTGACAACCACCCGGCCAAGACCAACAGCAAGACTCAACCTTATCACAGGGGCCAACAAATCAACGAAAGCAAATAGATAGGGATATCTCATGTACCCCCTCAACTCGAAACCCCTGTTTCCATGTCATTTTTTATTTTCTTTTCCATTTGATTCTCCATTATTGGGGTAGTATCCTTATATATAACCACAAAACATTTCAACCGCATAACCAACCCGGAGGATGCACGTTATCATCAGAGAGACGAGAGCGGTGGAGGTCAACACCCAGGCCACCGCACCGGTGGAAACCGCATCTGCAGCAATGTCTAAACCCCAAACCCTTAAACCCTAAACCCCAAACCCTTAAACCCCAAACCCTTAAACCCTAAACCCCAAACCCTTAAACCCTAAACCCTAAACCCTACAGTGGGTGCTTAACGGGGAGCTAGGAGTGAATTCAGTCTTTACTGCAGAGGCGTACATGCGGTGGTTTCCCAAAATTTTGGGGTTTAGGGTTTAGGATAAGGGTTTTAGTATTGGGGCTTTTAGGGTGTAGGGTTTAGGATTTAGGGTGCCTAGGACAAGGGTTATAGTATTGGGGGGGGGGTCTATATTGGGGTCTGCCTTTTGGGGAAAGTACCATGTAGGTATATCCCACTTTAAAGATATAACTGCAGAATAGCACATGGTTACACTTCAACAGTCTCGCAAAGTACTAGTCAGTCATGGGGAGTGTGCATGCGTACTGCGGTTCGCCAAGCATGCTGCTTTCTCCAGATGAACTCCTTAGCTTCACGGCTATCCTGCAGCACACTCGATATCGGCCCCACACCAAAAAAAAACATCGAACCCATAACCACCTACTACTCTTCCCCAGAAATAACCGCGCCCCCGCCCCTCCCACCCCCTGAAAAGTACATATACCCAATATAGTCCTGTTCTATGGTTTGGGAACATATAAATGTAAGCACATATATGTGTGTGTGTTTGTGGCGTTGTATTATTGTCTCGTCTCGTTTTTGTTGTTTTTGTGGGGGGGGGGGGAGGTGGTTGGGCATATAATTCTTAGGGGAGGTTGCGCTGCATAACTCTATGCCCTGAGGCCTTCCGTGAGGGCAGGGTTTGCCATGGCGTCCTCCAACGGAATTGGGAATGACGAATGCCAGGGACGGTGCTTTGATCCAAAATCCTGAGGCCCAAGGACATGAGTTTCCGGCCCAGCGTTTAGAGTCCCCCTTCAGTAGATAGAAGATGGGGTATATGGTGATGGTACTATAATATAACCAAAGCCATATTCTATCTACTTACAGGATCTTCTATAAGTTCTTGGTTGGGGCTGTTACCTTCTATAGCTTCTCTAAGCCTGGCCCCCAAATGGATTAAGTAGGTTTTGGACGACAAGCCTATGTCCAATTTTGTGGTCCTGTTCAAGACATCCTGGGGATTCTGGCATCAGGGTGCAATAACCCTAAACACCAAACTGCTAGTTGACTCATGTTGACTCTCTGGAGCCTGTTTGCTTATGGGCCCGGATGCTCGGGAGAGCTGGGGCCTCAGCAAGACGATCATGGTTCACGATTCCCCCGCGCAAAGCCTCACAAAATCACCCTGAACTCAATCTAAACCCAAAACCCTACCTTTGCTTGGGACTGCTGCTGGTTTGGGAGGGGTCATAATCCTAAACCCGAAACCATTAATCCTTAACACCTAAACCAAGTCCCTTGCGATTTTCCTTTTCAGGGTGCCTGGAAACACATCTCTCTAAAAGTAGAGCTTCGCCTAAAGCTTCTGAACATGAGGTCTGAGCCCCTAGACCCTAGACTAGACTTCCCAAACCCCGAACCCCATAACTCTGTTAAACTAGGGTTTAGGGGGAAACTCCAAACTCCCAACGTCCCGAACCCTCAAAACCTCCAAACCAACCCTTCACGCCCTGACTCTCCCGCTAAACCTTAAACCCTAAACCCTAAACTCTAAACCCCAAACCCCAAACCCTAAACCCCAGAACCCCTAAACCCCAAACCTTCGCATGCCTGTCTTCGGCTAAGCCGAAATATCTGGCTACCACAGCCCAATCCTCAGGGCCTGGGCTCAGGTTTAGGGTTAAGGGGTCCCAGTCCCAGCAAGCAAAACTGAAAAGGGATGTAGTGCTATGGGACCGAAAAAAATGTTATATATACATATACATATACATATACATATACATATACATATATAGACAGATAGATAGATAGGTAGATAGATACAGACACACAACACACATGTGTATATACGTGTATATATATATATATGTATATATGTATATTCTAGAAAGCCACGCAAGCATGTGCAATGTACATCCTATGTGCAAAATCCGTACTCTTGAGCTCCCTGCCCACGTGACTATTTTCAAACGTAGGGTTCCTCCCTAAACCCCAAACCCAAGCCTAGTCCTGAACACAAGGTGCTCCAAGAAAGGAAAGTCTATGTGAGCTATAGTCTAAACTCCTTAAAGTGGGTTCTATAGGGTATTGAATAGAGGAGTATTACGACTAGACTATGGCTCATGTCAGGTGCCACACGCAGTGGTCCAGCGTCCACGCCCTGGGCAGGCAAGGCTACGAAACAAGCTTGCAACTTGCGGAGATTTCTGGCTTCTGCAATTTAAGCCTGAAGATGTTCACCAGAAGGTGGTTCGCGACCAAGTCATGTACGCATTCTTTCGGTACTTGTTTCAGGCCCTGAACCCTAATTAGTTCAGGGTCATCATATATCAACTTTCGAAGTTGAATCTATTGACGTCTCCATGCTTGGCTTCGACAAGCTCCGGCTATGCGAGGTTCAGAATTACCGGATTACCAGTTTAGGGTTAATAGGGGTTTTAAGGTTTAGGGTTTGGGGTTTAGGTTATTGTTGGAGGTTTATAGGGTTATATGGTTTGGGGCTCATTTTAGGATTACATGGTTTGGGGTTTGAGGCTACGTCAGGTTCAGAATTACCGGATGACCGGGTCATCCAGGTCCTGAATTAATCGTGGTGGGTCCGGAGGAGGTACTAGGGAGCCTGGGGAAGCACTTGGGAGGTCCCGGAGAGTGCTGGATATGGTAGTTTCCCAAACTAGGGGGGTTTAGGGTTTAGGGACCCCTAGATAGACCCCGAAATACAACGCTCCTCATTATGGGGAGCACCCCCAAAAAGTACAGCTAATGTTGGGAAAACCCCCAAACTATTCCCTTGAGCCACCCGCGGTACAAACCAGCGATCATATGATGGTGCTCAGAAGGCGACTTTTCGGGCTCATCCACAACAAGTGTTTGAAAGCAAGTTACCATGAGACAAAGGAAGCCATAGTATCTATTACATGTCCATAGTATGCTGACGGAATGTTGATTCCTTAGTATGGCACAGCAGTCCAGACGTGTTGAGCCTACTTCCACATAAGAACAATACAAGAACATTGTCCGATTGACGGGCTCTAGTCAAGTCCAAGATGAAGCACGAAACCACTGGCCACTGGCCATGCTGCAGCTGTTTCTGAAATCTTTTCTCGGCTTACTGGTAACCCCTTCATAATACGAAAATGTTTTCCTAATGTGCAGCTTTGATAAGGAAAACCCAACAAAAGGAAAAAAGGGTACTACTGGAGTACTTCGTACTAGTAAGTGTCACGCAGACCCTTGCAACAGCAAACAAAGGAATTCTCTCCATCTGTTCTGGCATCCTGTATGAATACTGGTCATGGACACCCAAGCCCATAGACACTCACCAAACTGCCATGAAACCCCCTAAAACCCAAACCACGAACGACCAAGCCCTGCCCTGCCAGCTTATAACCCTAAACCCTAAACCCTATACCCCAAATCCTATACCCTAAACCCTGAACCCTCAACCTTTTTATGCGTTACGGGAGCGCGGGCCTCTCCAGGACTAAGGACAATTCGGATGGGAGCCTGCCCCAACCCGGCAAACAAGGTTGGAGTGTTGTCATTTAACTTGATGGTGGTTAGTAGGGAATAAGGGAAGATATCTAATGGGGTCTAGAGTTAGTAGGGAATACGGGAATACAGGCCCTGTAATAAACATGGTCCGTTATTCCCTACTCACCCCTAGGAAGTCACGGGATTGCGGTCTAGGATATGATATAAGGTTTTGGGGGCTCGGGGGCGATACAAGCTTGAGGTTTGGGTCCAAAGGTTTGGACGGAGTCTTAATGTGGGACACAGGAACCCGAATTGAGGATGGCCTTAAAGGCTAAGTCAAGAAAGGTGAAGCTTGCTCAAGGGGTATCTGAAATCGGTATACTTGCGAGCCCAAGGTATTCCTACCAGGACCCTCCTTGTAGCCTCAAAAAAAGGGTATACTTGGAGGTTCAGGGGGACTTAGTACGTAGGCTAATAACCACTAAACCCCATATAGTACCTTAATTATCCCCATGATTGACTACTTACTAAGTCCCCCTGACCCTCCAAGCATGGTCCCTAGTACTGGGTCTTTAGGGTATGATAGACGGAAGATGGAAGGGTTACAATGGGGCCGAAGTATCTACTATACGTCTGGGACTGTTCAGGTTCGTTGGTGGCGGCATCCTGTCCTAGTATCGTAAACCTAGACTTTAGATACCGTAAAAAAACTAAAAATCCTAAAGCCCTGAAAACGCTAGAAGCCAGCCTTACAATTCAAATCTTCCGACTGAGGCATGGTGCAGCCTATCTTTCAGAAATTTAGTTTTGAAGGTCTAAAGGGTTATACAGGGGTTGGTGAATGAATGGAAAAGAAAATGGAACATGAAATTGGAACTGGGATTATAGGGTAGTTTATATAGCGATTATATATGAGTTTATAAGGGGTTTAAGGTCTAAGGTTCAGAGCTTTGGTTTTGGGTTCAGGGCTTAAGGTTGGGTTTAGGGTCTAAGGTTAGGGTTGGTCTAAGGTTTAGGGTTTTAGTGTTTAGGGTTTAGGTTTGGGAGGAGGACGTTGCAGGAACCTGACTCTCTGGCGCAGCTTGGTTCTCGGCAAGTTTTTTTGTGCATCTTTCTAGACCCCTGGAACCAAGAACCAAGATGCTCAAGAAAGTCTTGGAGAGAAATGTTTTGTTCCAGAGGTCCAGAAAATCTTTAATTTTTGTCGTACAACCTGGCCCAGTAATCAAGATTGCTCCCGAAGACTCTCTGGGGCAAAGTGAGTTTTGGTTGCCGGCCTCAAAAAATTGGCAAAACTAATCTTCTAATTTGCCAAGTCCCTGTGAAATAAATGCTCTGAGGCTGATAGCAAATAATCTTAAGGTGTGAAGGCACCCTACACATGTAAGAGGAGATGGCTGGAGCCTGAGGATATAAACAGGAATCGAGGATATACATAAGATATAAATCAGCCCACCCTTCAACAAAGAGATTCCCACAGGGCCATCGTTTGTAGGGCTTAGGGCTTCGGGATTCGCATAGCCAATTCAAGCAAGGGTCCCAGATCTTTCGGCCCATACATTGCAGAGCACGCTGTCAAAGCCCTCTGAAAAACCCTCTGACCAAAGGCCCATAACCTTTCTGATATTTTGGAAGACTAGGACTGAAAGCTTTGGGGTGAAGATCATTCTGTCTGTCATGGGTTCGGGGTTCAGAGTTTCATGACCATCATAGTGCGTACGCCAGGGAGAAAATCTGAGAAGATATCATCTTCGGAATAACTCCCCCATTCCGCTTCAAGATTCAGTAAGCAACGCAGCAAGAAATTTGAGGGTGCATTTGCAAGTGGAATCTCCTTGCTCATCTCCCCCAGAAATCTGATGTC